AGAGAGCTGCTGAGCTGCCCAAAAGAGACCCCCACACACACCTGTGGATCAGCCTGTAGGCTGTGCTGTTGGTGTCTAGCTTTCCTGAGCTTATCTTCTGTGCTAGCCTGGGCTTTTGGCCATCCAGCTGTCTTTGAGTCACTTCTATCCTATAAAGGATGCCCATATTTCTCTAAGGAACCCTGAAATGAGTAACATCTATTTGTTCAAGATGGACTTTGGTGGTATCTTTGCTTTTGTCTGTTGTTCTTCCCTATCTAGGGTAGTTATTTGTTCATGTCTCCCTCTCCTGTAATAATGTTATTATACAACACAACCACAATCATAGCACACCCCCAAATAAAAATAAATAAATAAATAAATAAATAACTAAATACATGATGTAATAATTGTTAACCTGGCTGGGTCAGGTGGCACTTGTCTGGGCTACTTAGTGACTTGAGACTAGCCTGGGATACATAGTGAGACCCTAGGAATAAGAGAAAGAAGAGAAAAGAAAAATGCTGACTAAACGTTAATCTCATGCAAAAACATCCTTACAGACACACCCAGGATAATGTCTGACTTACTGAGTGCCATGGGCCAGCCACATGTCACATAAAATTAGTTACCCACTCTCCAACAGAAATTTTTTCACTTACAGACCAAGGTAACACACTACAGTTCTCAGGGCACAGTCCATGCCCTATACTGTGGACCACAGACCACGAAGGTTCTGGTATTTGGTCTCCTACCTCATCTCCCTGTAGATTCCCAGGCTTTCTGTCCACTCCTCCCCACCTCATCCTGCCTTCCTTCCAGCCCTGAATCTGAGGTGTCTTTCCATTTCCAGTCTTTGCACGTGTTGCCTGTCCCACGTGTGGTCCCTTCATTGAGAGCTGCCCATGGTTGCCCTGGAAACCTTCCTCTGCATCTTGAGCATCCAAAGGAGTCTAAAGTTCATCACTTATTTAGCTGCTTCTTAACAATGAAGGGTCTTGGATTCCCAACCCCAGAGCACCCTCCTATCTGGCACATGTTGCTGCTCAGGGCTCCAGCTGTCTAGAAGGCACATGGCAGATGTCTTTATTTATGAAAGATGACTTAGATTTCTCTTCTTGTAAGCCAGACATACTCTTGTATCTGGACCTCCATCATCATGTTCCTTCTTGAAGTATCTTCTTTATATCTTTATTTAGTGAAGGGTGATTAGTGGTAAAACTCTGAATTTTAACTGAAAAGTATATTTATTTAAACTATAGAATAACATTCCAGTTGTGGGGGGGACATGCTTATAATCCCAGCCTTTGGAAAAGACAAAAGTAGAGGGATTAGGAGCCCAAGGCAAGTCTGAGCTATATAGCAAATTCAAAGCCAGACTAAATGAGAGCCCATGTTTAAAAACGACACCCCAAAATCCACCAAAATGAACAAAAAGAATAATTAGCCAAAAACTTCAAGCCAATGTACCAGCTTTCTTGTTGCTTTGACAGAAATATCTACATAAGCAACTTGAAGGAAGCAAGATAAACTACAGCTCCCTGTCTCAGAGGCGTCTATGTTGTGTGGCACCAGCTTTGGGCAGTACATCATGGCAGGAACAATTTGTAGAAAAGTTGTTCTAACTTCTTGGCAGACAGAAAGCAAAGAGGTGGGGTTGGGGGTGGGGAGTGGGGTGCCAGAGGCAATGTCACAGGACCTGCCACTATTCCTCCATCTCCCTAAAGTTTCCAGGAAGCGCCCCCATAGTGCCACCAGCTTGGGATTGGCACTGGGAGCGGGGTAACCTTTGTACCAAACATAACAGTGTAGAGGTACCTACTTGGGACTCCAGAGCTCCAGAGGCTGAGGTAGGAGGATAGTGTTAGAGTTCAGCTTGGACTACCCAGCATGACCCCGCCACAAGAAAGCAAAACCAAAAGAAGTATTACATTTGATTAATAATATCTCTGTGTATTTAAGGGTACCAGGAAACATTTAGAATAATTAAATAAACCAATCAACTTTTCATCCTCTCAAGTTTTCAGTGAAGAGATTTAAAACATGTTATCTTACTAATTAAAAAAAAATACATTGTATTGGCTGGAGAAATGGCTAAGAGATTAAGATCACTGGCTGCTCTTTCAGAGGTCCTGAGTTCAATTCTCAGCACCCACATGGTGGCTCACAACCATCTGCAATGAGATCTGGTGTCCTCTTCTGGCCTGTAGGCATACATGCAGGCAGAACACTGTATACATAATAAATACATAAATCTTGAAAAATGAGCAAACAAACAAACAAACAAACAAACAAAAAAAAAACCCCAACCATTGTATTAACTATAGCTCTGGGCTATGTAACAGATCTTAATGACTTACCCTACTGTCTAAGGGAGACTGTGTCTTGGTGCTCAGCTCCTGGTCTTCTCCACTCTATCTCTGCTCATCAAATGAGATTGTGCACACATTCCGTTCCTCAATATCCTGGCCAGCACTTGTGGTATTCCATCTTTCTTGTAATCATGTAATCATCATCCTAATTGATGTCAGGGGAATTACCAGGGGAATTAGCTTCCCCTGGTAACCAGTGATACTCAGTATTTGTCTACGAACTTGGGAACTACCTGTATGCCTTCTTTTGAGAAGTGTCTAGTTAGAGTCTTTGTTGATTTTAAATCAGGCTATTTGCTACTAAATTGTTTTCTAAATTTATGGTTATCTGAAAATTTTGTTTTGCACTTAATTTAGGAAAATGGTGCATAAAAAAAAACCTGAGTTAGGAGTTTGTTTGTTTGTTTTCCTGAGCATTATAAAAATACTATAAATACTATTTCACTATTTGATTGTTCTGCCACCAGATTCATTAGACTTATCTCCATTTTTTTTCTTTTTATTTAGATTTTCCTGTCTTTGGTAGTCTGCAATTTCACTATGCTGTGCTTAGGTAAACTAACATTTGTTATTTTACTTCTTACACATTAGAACATTTACCTTTCACCAGTTCTGACTTATTTTAAGTAAAATGTCTCCAAACACTGATTTTCATATTTTAATTAGACTTTTTTTTTTTTTTTTTTTTTTTTTTAGCTCTTTGCACACATCTTTAGTAGTTCTTTATGCTTCTTGACTTACCTCTAGTGTTACATTTCTGATCACTTCTGGGCAGGAACTCTACCATTGAGTTATAGCCTCAGACTTTCTTGATGATTTCTTCAAATTTGTCTTCTAGTTCATAAATTCCCTCTTCATCTGTGTCTAATTTGGTGGGTAACTCTCCCAAGTTTTTCCTTTCTTTTTAGCAACAACTTTATTGAGATATAACACATTACGTAACATAAAATTCACTCTTTATTGGATGCATGTCAGTGAATTTAAGCGTATTAACAAAGTTGTGTATCTATTTCATTACTTCACTTATGAATAGTGTCCCAAACTGATCATTTTCTCTCCCTCTCTCCTCCTCTCCTCCATACTTGGCTAATCTTTCTGTCTTTGTTGGATTTTTTAATTATGGGCATTTCATATAAATAAAATGCTTTTTTTTTTTTTTTAAATTTTTGCTGTAGTTTGGGTTTTTTGTTTTGCTTTGTTTTTTTTTTTTTTTTTTTTTTTCCTTCTTTCTTGGTGACTAGCTTCTTTTACTAAGAATTCTTCCAAGGTTTCTGTTGATTTTTTATCATTTAAGTGAAGTTTCAAATTTTTCTTTCTTTCAGATAAACTTGCTGTTCAGCTTGTGCTTACATGTTCCTTCTTTTAGTATGTCAGTAAGTACATTGTGTTTGTATTCTAGGATTTAAGTTGGTTGTTGGTGCTTATCTCTGAGTGACTCTGGTTTGTTAGCATTGGAGGTGTGGTCATGATGAACAGGGTACATGGACCATTCACTAGCCTGCTCGCAGCCTGCTCCCTGCATTTCCACAGAAAACACTTACCTAGAAGCCTCACTACTCTGCAATAATACATATTAAGGCTCATTCTCCGAGCCTGTGTGCGGGGCTCAGGCTCTGCCCACACCACTGTGAACCATGCTGCCTCTGAGCTCCACTGAACTAATTCTTACCCTCTGCACTCTCTTCATCTATATCTTCTTCAAAGTGTCTAGTCCCTCTCTTCCTCAGCACTCTGTGAACTACTCAAGTGCTCAGGCAGTTTGATCCCATTATTGGCCATGTCACCTAGTGACTGGTGTGGCACTGGGCAGGAGGCACTATCACTGTGTGTTTCCCTTACCTGTAACTCAATACTCAGACAGCAAGACACTGAAGTAATGAATGTGCTGTTAGAAAAGGAGAACAGACACTATGAGCTCAAATTGACATCCTAGGTTGTCATATCTAGTAACGGTCTGATGTTAGTGATAGTCATTTGTTTGGTGTGTGGTTCATGGACAGAGGGGGCAGAAACCAAGGTCTGCCTGCCTAGGGCTTTGAACACCTTTCCTGCTGGATGAAAAGGAGCCCTGGCTCAGCGCCCAGGAGAGATGGAAGGACAGGTGGAGCGCAAGGTGTGGATCTGGCCAATGCTCCCTATAGCAGGATCAGGATTTTCACCTTCTGGGTGTGGGCGTGGTTGGTGACAAAAATCCCTGGGACTGGGTTGCCCGTGGGCGTCGTAGTGGTCTTAGGAGTACAACTGGCTGGAATAATTGGAGCCAAGGTGGAGGCTGGGGAGGGAGGAGCCCCAAGGCTGGGCGTCTGAATCCCAAGACTGCTACCTCCCTCCTTCGCTGCGTCTTTGTGCATTTCGCTTCCTTTAGCAGCCAAAGCTCTTCCGAGAATCTGCAAGGGGACCACGGCCAAGCATAGGGGAGGATCCTCCCACGCCGGGTAGGGAGATGGATAGGGGTGGGGAGGCAGCTGCGGCGGGAGCGGGAGGCCTAGAGGGGGTATTGCGCGTGGGCGAAGGGCGCAGAGGCGGGGTAGGGCGACCTGCTGCATGGCCTCCAGCCCTGAGCGCCCCCCGCCTCGCGCGTTTTCCCGCCGCGCGCGGCCCCCGCCCGGCTCCGCCCCGCCCCTCGCGCGGGGTCCGCGTCTGCGGCTGCGTTCCCCGAAAGACGAAGCTGCGCCCCGATTCCGGTCCGCAGGGAGAACGAAGGGCATTTCTCCCCGCGCCGCACCCGCTGCTGAGCCCGGAGTGCGGACACCCCAGGGATGTGAGTGCGCCCCGACCCTGAGGCCCGCACTCCACGCCCCGATTCGCGGTGAGTGCCGAGGCGCGCGCGAGCGCGCGCTCGCGGGGAGCAGGGGAGGGGACTCGGCGCGGGGTTCCCGGCCCCCCAGCCCAGGGGTGGGGACGAGGACGGGGACGCGGCGCGCACCCCCTCCCCCTGCAGGTAAGGTGCGCTCCCTCCTCCCGCCTTTCCTGTCTGGACGCACCTACAGCTCCCCGGGGAGAGAAGACATCCTCCTCACACAGGTGCTCAGCGAACGCTCTGGGGACTTCGGGCAGCCACCTCACTGGAAAGGGCAGATCTCTCTTCCTTGGAGGGGAGGCGGTGATGGTGGATGCTCCCGGTGATGGGTTGGGGGTGGGGCATCTCAGGCTCTTGGAAGGACACCCCTCCCTGCGCGCGCTTTTGATTCCTGGGGTATGGTCGCGTCCTCAGGCCCGAAAAGGGAAGGGTCCTTGGCGTTGGGTCCTCTGACCGAGGCTATTTCCCTCTAGGCCTGCGCCTCAGAGGACCCCTGCCTGCAGTCCCCGTGCTTCTCTCAGGCCCTCTCAGAGCATGCTGCCTGCAGCCATGAAGAGCCTTGGCCTGGCACTGCTGGCCTTGCTGCTTTGCCCCTCGCCTGGTGAGTCGGGGGCCCGCGGGGAGGGGTCACGTCGCAGGGAGCACCACTCATATCTCAACTCCAGTCACCTGGGCTCTCCCTGTTGGAAACAGCATTCAGCACCTTCCCAACGGGCTTCTGGTACTGCGTAGAGGTCCCTCAGTCTCAGAGGTCCACCAGGCTTCCTATTAAATCTGGTGGGCCTTTCTTGTCTTGGAAACCACCCATTTTGGGGGGTCCTGTGTGCAGGAATAAGAGGATGGGGAGGCAGGATGTGCAGGTACAGGGTCAGCGTGGAGGCCCACTCTGGTCTTGTGGGAGTGGAACTTGTCTATGGGCATGGTTCTACCATGATTGCTACTGTAGGTTGGGGAAGGGGGGATGCAGGGTCTGCTTGTCCAGGCCTAGGTTCCTCTGGTCATCCCCCTCCCCATGCCCTGCCTAGCCCATGGCCTGTGGTGCCAGGACTGCACCCTGGCCAATTCCAGCCATTGCGCCCCGAAGCAGTGCCAGCCAACCGACACCGTTTGTGCCAGCGTGCGGATCACCGACCCCAGCAGCAGTAAGTCTGAATCTGGTGAGGGCATGGGGGTAGATACAAGGAGAGGTCAAAGGTGATCTCTGAGTTCCTCTTGCCTGGAACAAGAGCATGAATGAGTTTGAGGCAAGACAACCATTGGCTTGTTCTTCTCTGGTTCCAAGTCCGAAATTGATTTGAAGGACCCTGGATCTTGGGGGGGGGGGGAAGAAACAGAGCTCAGGTGGAGATAGACCTTAGCTTCATGCTTCCTTCTTTCCCTCCAGGTAGGAAGGACCATTCTGTGAACAAGATGTGTGCTTCCTCCTGCGACTTCGTTAAGCGGCACTTTTTCTCAGACTATCTGATGGGGTTCATTAACTCTGGGATCTTAAAAGTCGACGTGGACTGCTGCGAGAAAGATTTGTGCAACGGGGCATCAGCCAAGGGGCATAGTCCCTGGGCCCTGGCTGGGGGGCTCCTGCTCAGTCTGGGGCCGGCTCTCCTCTGGGCTGGGCCCTGAGGACCCTCCCTCCCTCCTGCAGGGCTTTGGAGCTTGTCCCCAAGCTTGTTGCTGCCCCTCCCCAGCCTAGCCTGGCTAGGGCTGGGATAGCAAGGGCTTGCCCTCAAGGTCTGTAGCTCTCAACTTCCCTAGATGTGAGCCTTCTCCTTTTCTCCACCAGCTCCATATCCCAGGCAGCTGGACATCTCCAGGAGACCAGACACCCTGGCAGGAAGCTCGGGTGGGGGGGGGAGGGGGAGGGCAGGGGACTGGGACCCTCCAGGTCCCCTAGGGGAGGGAGGCCAAGCCAGGGACAGCCCAACAGCCTGGCCTGAGGGGCATTAACTACAGAGAAATAAAGTCACTTCTGAGTCTTGTGCCCGGGTCTGAGCCTGGGTGTTGGAGGTGGGGAAGGGTCTTGATAAGGAGCAAGGGCCAGGCTTCGGCCCTGAGACACCTGCGGGGGTGGGGGGAGGGGGGAGTGTTGTCAGGGGTTCAGGGTGGTGGGTGTTTATGCAGGGACACCTGAAGATGCCCTGAGTAGGGCTGCTTGGGACTGAGAGCTTGGGAGGGGACACTTAAGGAAGATGGAGTGAGAGCTGAACTGGACAGGATCACACTTTGGGAACTTGACATGGGTGTAAGGGGTGCTTCTAGATGCATTCCACGGTGCACATGGCCAGCCTGCATTTGTGCTTCCCTGCTAGTGGCAACAGAGCAGTCTGTCTACCCCACTTATGGTCACACATCCACACTGAAATATCCACACTGGGGTCCCCATCACCTCATGTTTGTCCAGGTGCCCATTCACACCCTGCCTGGGATGCGCATTTGCCCAGTTGCAGACATGTGTGCTTGCTTGTTCAGCTCTCTTTTGCTTCTACCTATTCTGAATCCTGAGGTGCTTGGATTTGGGGTGGCTGAAAACCCTAGGGTGATTGAGGGTTCTGTGGTTCTTAGGGTGGAATGGAACCCTCACTTCCTGGGCTCTGCTTCTTTACTGCCCCACTCTGGGTTGGGGCCACACATGGATGGAGGCCTGAGGCCTGAGGATGCTGATCTCCATGCTAAGTGGCAAAGGTGGGAGACATGGGGAAAACTTGTACAGGGAGATGAACTGAACTGACCCTTACACCGCAGCTGCTGGTCTTCAGTTTCCTCCCTGAGTCCAACCCGGCCTTCTGCTGCTTGCCAGATGTTCCACAGATGGTTTGTGTGGCCAGGCTCACCCTGTGACACATACTGAATACCCCAGGTATTCTCTGGGGCCTGAATTTTGGCCAATGCCACATGCTACCTGTAGCTGACCCAAACCCATGAACAAGTTCCTGTAGGATCTAGCCTTGACATTGCTCCTGGGTACTGTGCATAGGTGACAGGAGTAAGGGTTCAAGTGGGTGACTGTGAGGGGGAGCTTCCTGTCATCACTAGTTGCTGATGTCTGAAATCTGTGGTGGCAACTGCCAAGGCCTCATCCCTGGAAGAAGGTTAGTTCCTTTTGCATTTGAACTTCACAGCTGTGGTCCCTTCTGCCTCTCACCTCCTCCTAAAGTGCTGGCCCTGCCTGTGGAGCCCAGAGCACAGCCAGTGCAGGGCTAGGGTGCCTATGGAGGATGCAGGAAGTCTGCAAGTGGTGGATGCCCAGGAGAAGCCTTTGGAGCTCCTGGAAGGCCAAGCCATTAGCTGGAGATGAGCTTCATCCAGGGATACCTTTATATGCCAAATGCATTGTCTGAAGGGTCTTGAGGAGCAATCAGGAACAAGATTTTGGCCTCATTAAGAAACATATGAAATTAGGAGGCAAACACTCTTGTACCCCTGAGGGACTTCTGAGGGAGGGGAAGCAGGCACAGAGGGTTGGGACCCTTCATCCTTATCTGAGCTGCCAATGTCCTCATCTCAAGGAGGGTTCCAGTGGACAGCTTTGGTGTGGCATTGGTTGCTTTCCACAGTGGTGACAGGGCTAAGTGTTCCCTGTGTCCCTGGTGCACACGCGCATGTGCACACGTGTGTGCGCGCGCACACACACACACACACACACACAATTACATTTAGTTTTGTTGTGTTATGAATTCCTGACATGATGCACGCATGAAGGATAGAGGACAACATGGGGGAGTTGGTTCTCCCTCTTTGTATCATATGGGTTCTGGGGATGAAACTCAGCATCAGGCTTGGTTACATCAAGTGCCTTTATGGACTGAGCCATCTCTTCCCTCTCCTGGCCCTTTTTGCTAAGGAGTTCCTTAGTAAACTTCTTCTAGAGAGTTATAGGTGACCTGTGGTTTTCAAGCTCTGACATGTCCTAGGAAGGGTCAGCTCTGGTTGATTTAGCCACCCCTTAGAGAGGAGTGGTTGTTTTCAGATTTCTGTCACTGGCTTTGGAAGGCTGATCCTATCCTCCCACATAGTGGTTCTCAACCTGTGGGTCGTGACCCCTCTGGGATTGAATGACTCTTTCACAGGAAGCTGTGTATTGAACCCAAGAACCATATACACTAGATAAACATTCTACCATTGATCCCTCTCTCTCTCTCTCTCAAAACCACTTCTCACACATGAAGTAGAAGCAATAAGATGAACTGGGTACATCAGGTACAAAGTAGATGGCTGTGTTCTAGGTGATATGGGAGGGGTCCCTTTACTCACAGGGACACAGAGAGCAGGAAGGGCACAGGGTACCCTATGATACTTACAGACACTACCCATGGAGTTGGAAGACTCCATTGATTTCCTATGGGAGGCAGAGGACACCTGTGGCCCTTCTCAGTGGCCACAGTGCTAAACTCTCCTGATGAAGATGTCAGCAAACCATGGACAAACCTGTGACACAAATGACCTGACCAAACACTGTCTGTTTAACCATGGCAGTGTTTTAAAATATGACACCAGGCCAAGGTGGCTTGCCATCAGGAAACCAATGGAACTCACTGAATTATCTGCTCATTAACCCAGGGACACATGTGGTTGTGCCAACAGATGGGAAAGAGCTTTTCTTTGAAATTCATCTGCCATTCTTGACTTTAAAAATTGAATTGAAATATGGATAAATAGTCTAAGGTGAGTAATGGCTGCTTCTCAAGCCTGGGAGTATAGTCCTTAGCTAGTGGAAAAGACTTCTGGGCTGCTGTCACCATTCAGCCGCACTGCAAAGAGTCTGTGCCTTGAACACAGAAACTGAACAGGAAATAAAAGCTGGAACCGAGGCTGGATGCCTTCATTTGCAGACCATTGTTGTTTTAGGCCTTCATGAGGTCAGTGATGACTTGAAAAGCGAGGAGTTTACTTCTCCCTCCACCCTCTAGTTGTGGTCTGGCCTGCATCTGTCTCAATGTACAGAGCCTTCTGCATATCTGAACCCCATGTTCCCACCACAGGATTTAGAAATTATACCTCCCAGCCCCACAGCCCCAAGCATAGACCCCAAGCTCATAGAGGTTATAAACAGGTTTGTCTTTGGGAGAAGAGATTCAGATCTGCCACCCCAGGGTTAGGGCTGTGTAGCTCATGCAGTACATGTCTCTACTGGACTCCACTTTCAATTCAAAGGCAAAATCCTAGTAAACCCTTTACCAGAGCCAACAGGCAAACTCTGGACTCAGCACTACAGTGGGCATTGAGTGGACCACCACTGAGCTAGATGAGGAGCATAGTACTAGTATTCCTGATGTTTTATTTCTAGACCTATCTACTCACTAAGGCAGCCTGTGCTTGTCTTATTCAATGCAGCTATTCATACTCCCAGGGTAATGCCTAACAGGGTGGGGAAAGCAGACAGTCACATCTGTAATTTGGGTATCTGTGGAAACTTGTGTCAACCCAGTGGTCATCACCCAACAGGATCTTCATCCTTGTATATGTCAACTCCCTCAGCCCATCCCTTCTGGGGCTGCCTGTGGCCCACCATCACCACCCTCAGATCTGGGACCTTGGGAGTACATCCATGACAGTGATGTCCTAGCTGAGTTGACCCTTTCCACTTGACTATATGCTCCCTATTGAAATGTCTGAGCTACTCTTCCTAGGGGTTAGAGGCAAAAGGGGTTTAAGCCTCTGGAAGCACAAGGGTTAGGTGACTCGGCCTCACCACTGACCTGTAAGTGTCCTTCATTTGCTTCCCAAACAAATGTGACTAATTAGATTTAGAAGGAAAGGGAAGCCCTATGATACTATGGATTGCCATCAATACACACCTAAGGAGAGCGGCAGCCTGTATGCAAAAAGCTACACAGTCCAACAGAGGGATGGCACTTCAGAGGCCCTTGAAGTATGAGTGAGAAGGATGGCACCTGCATTCCAGTTTCAGATCCCAGAGAGCAAACTCTAAACAGATTCTAACAGAGGAGACTCTGAGAGAATTCACCTATATCTGAATCAAAGGCAAAAGTGACAGTGTTCCCAGAGGAGTCGTGAGAGTCACTTGCCGACAACCATTGAAATGCTTCCCCACATCAAAAAGGCACAGCAAAGACCAGTGGCAGAAGCCACAGGGAGGCAGACCCTGAGCATCTTGTCTAGGTGGAAATGGGTCATGTTGTAAGGGCAATGTTGTAAATTAGTGTGCAAATCAGATTGCTCCGAACATAACACTGAAAAAACAGTGGCCACTACAACAAAGCTCAGGTGATGGATGTCTGAGTATAGCTACCAAATCTATCAACATCCAAGAACACATAATGTGGACTCACTGGAAGACAGAGATGGTTCTGAGGCAGGAAGCCCCAGACTGTACAAGAACTAGATAGACCGCAATGCTTTCAGCCTCAGAGTGCAGAGCAATACAGGATGAATAAGCCATCAAACTGCCAGACCTACAAAGAGTCATGTATTCCAGGAACAGGCCAAGGCCGGCATGGGAGGTCAGCAGGAAGGTGTCAGAAATTCCTCAAGGCATGCTGTGGCTACTGAATCTTGAGGGCATTCAGCTATTCCCAACACGTTGTCAGATGGAATGTCAGCAATGTTCTATCTTGTATCCTTTGGATGGACAGAGACCCCTAACAGCTGCTGCAGCAGAGAACTTGGGTTCAGTTCCCAGCACCCACGTGGTGACTCACAACCATCCATAACTTCAGTTCCAGGGGATCCATCTCCCTTTTCTGACTTCTGTGGGCACCAGGCAGGCACATGTGCGACACATGTATAGACATGTAGGCAAAAACATGAACATACATAATATAAATCTTGGGAAACAGTAGGAAGGAAGGAAGCAAGGGAAGGAGGAAGAAAGAAAGGAAGGGAGGGAGGAGGGTGTTGAGATGGAAGTCTTCACTGATTTTCGGGAAATGCCAGACTGCCTCCATTCAGATTTCTCCTCCCCACTCCTTGCTTTCTGAGTCTCTCTGAGTGTTGCATCCTCACAATCTGGCCCTGCAGTGT